AGTCCAGCCGCCTGTATATGTGTAGGGTGTGAGCCCACCCACAGGAACACAGGCAGCTTACCTGGGGTTAGGGGTGGGGGCTCATCCTTGAAGAAGCCTGACTCTCCCTCCCCCAGCAGCCCTCAGCTGGGAACAGCTCCTCAGCTTGGGCAGGGCCTCAGGAGTCCCTCCCCAGCCAGTGCTGCAAAGCTCACTGGCTTGGATCTTACGCAGGCTTTGTTCGGACAACTACAGAGGCCGCAGGGGTTCAGAAGACCCCATGTCGCAACCGTCTTCTCTGGACACTCTCTTTTTCTTTTCATTTTATTATTAAGCAATTGTCTATTCATTTCACATACCAACCACAGATTCCCCCTCCTCCCTCTTCCAGCCCAAAAGCCTTCTCCCCCAATCCATCCCCTATTCCCACCTCCTCCAAGTCAAGGTCTCCCATTGGGAGTCAGCAGAGCCTGGTGCATTCAGTTGAGGCAGGTCCAAGCCCCTCCCCGCTGCACCAAGGCTGCGCAAAGTGTTCCACCATAGACACTGGGCTCCAATAAAGCCAGCTCATGTACCAGGGTTGGATCCCGCTCCCTCTGCCTGGGAGCCCCCCAAACAGTTCAAGCTAAACAACTGCCTTGCATATCTAGAGGGCGTAGTCCAGTCCTCTTGGGGCTCCACAGCTATTGGTCCACAGTTCATGGATTTCCACTAGAGTGGCTGGTCGTCTCTGTACATTTTCCCGTCATGATCTCGATGTGGAATCCAATTGATGAACACAGTCTCTTACAGTCTTTCACCCTGTCTTTCTACCACATTCTTTGAGCCCTGGGGATTGGGGAGTATGGTGCACACGCTTCATTTCAGGGCTGCACAATAAACCTTCATCCAGCCTTTTACCTGGAGTCTGGAGGTCGAACTTGAGTCTTTATGCTTGCAAGGCAAGTACTTCACTGACTGAGCTATTTCCCCATCCCCTGCCCTCTGTAGATTTCTACGGTCTATTCTGAGTCCTGTGTGATCTGGTCACTCCCTTTACCTTATGATAGATATCGCCCCGTTATTTCAGTGGCTCCTGATTCACGTGTGAGAAACCCCAACTTTCTTAGCTTGGGGCCTCGGCTCCTCTATGGTCCAGCTCCTACCTACTGTTCTGCTGACCCAACCTCCTTCCTCTCTGGGGCTCTTCCTAAGTCTGCCTTAGTCTTAGATTAAACTGTCTCTCTCTCTTTTCTTTTCTTCCAGTTTTCAAATTGATCTACCATCTCTTTGCTCTCAGTCTTTGTGATACTTGAGAGCTATGAACATTTGCATATGTATTTATATATCTTCTCTACTAAGCCTCAGACTCTTGAAGGCAGAAATAGTATTTGCAGCTATGTAGTCTCCACAATTACATAAGTACCTAGTAAATATGTGGCTGTCTCTGCACACACACACACACACACACACACACACACACACACACACACACACACCTCTTAAGTTCCTTACTAAATACAGATGACTCCTGACCCTGGATAGCTCTAGCTCAGTAGTTTTCGGCTGTATGGCAGGGTGAAAGTGTACACACACACAATCCTGTTTTCTCTATTCTTCGCTTTCACTACAACAGTCAAGAAATTACACATGATGGCCAATACTTCACTATATGAAGGCACTGGGTTCAGTGATTTTTGCCCAGCTCTACTGGCAAGAAGTGGAAGTATTCTGAGTGCCTGTAAGATACAGTAGGGTCAGCTGAGTTTGAGACCAGGTGTATAAATTACGTGTGTGTGTGTGTGTGTGTGTGTGTGTGTGTGTGTGCATGCATGTCATTATAGCAGAGGAAAGGAGAGAAAACCAGCAGTTTTGATGGAGAGGAAGTGAGACCAGTCACCCTTCAGAATGAGCTTTATTAGGAGAGGGCTCTTTGCAACCAAGGGGCCATGATGAGGCCTTGAGGTGGGAGAGAATTGTGACTATTCTGAGAAACCGCTTAAAGTAAAAGGTAAGAAAGATACCTGTCATGTAAAATGTGATGGGGGTGGGTGTAAGAGACAGAAAAGGAGGGGGAGGGGAGGAGGAGAGGGAGAGGGAGGGAGGGAGAGAGAGAGAGAGAGAGAGAGAGAGAGAGAGAGAGAGAGAGAGAGAGAGAGAGAGAGAGAGAGAGAGAGCTACTTCAGAGAAATCCTCCTCAGAACCAAGAGGATATATGACTTTTTTAAGGTTTTAGGGAATAGTGGGTAATTTTACACAGTGTGACTCCTATGTGGATCCTGGCACATGTCAAGCCAGGTACTTGATGGGACCACAAATTTGTATTTAAGCCACTAAAGGAGGAGCTTCAAGGCTACCACGTAACTTCTTAACTATCTGTCGCAGAGAAAGAAAGAAAGAAAGCTAGAGGGGGCGTGGCCTGGTTTCTGAGAGTGTGGTGATAGTAAGTCATTTAAAGAGCCTGTGATAGAATGTGTGTTCGCATACATGTGTGCATGCATGCATGCATTCTCTGTGTGTGCATGTGTACATGTGTGGAGACCAAGGAACAATGTTGGGTGTTGTTCATTGGTCGCTGTCCAAGCTGCTATTTGAGACACAGTCTCTTATTGGCCTGGGATCTACCCAAGTAGTCTAGGGTTGGTGGTGAGCAAGCTCACCTCTCTGCCTCACCATCACCGGGATTATCAATGTATGCCACCAAGTGTAGCTTTTTAAAATGTGGGTTGTGGGGATTGAACTCAGGTCTTCATGCCTGCAGGACAAGTGCTTTACCAATGAAACTTTCAATCGATGATGGGTTTACAGGACCAGATCATGCAGTCACAGGGCAAGGAGCAGCTCTGGTGTCGTTGCAGGGCGATTGGTTTTCTAGAAAGCAGCACAAGCTATTTCAAGGGTCGGCATGGTTGCTTCGTCACATTGCCATCCAGTGGTCGATTTTCCTTTGAATGTGAAGGTGGGCTGGGCTGTCCTCAAGCCCTGAGGCATGGATGGGGAGTTACTGACCCAATGGATACTGCTGCCTTCGTAGTTATACTCTCAGTGACAGGCCAGCTGCCCCACGTGATGCTCTCCCTCACAGAAAGCTCTATCACACTAGGTCAGCTCTCACCAGAGGTGGGAATGGTGTCCTAGGATGACAGATTTCTTTTTTCCTAATGGCCCTAAATTAACATTATTTATTTATTTTATAATTTAATTTAATTTTACATATCAGCCAAGGATTCCTCTGTCCCCCCCGCCAATCCCTCCATCCCCATCTCCTCCAGGGCAAAGACTTTACTGGCAAAGGTGCTGGACAAAGACACCTGGCTCAGGTGCTCAGCTTCTTGGCTAGTGAATTGTTCCAGAATTCCAAGTCCCAGGTGCTCAGCCTGAGTAGTGAATGGTTCTAGAATTCCGAGACCCAGGTGTTCCCACTCTGTAGAGCCCCGGATGATCATCTTCAACTCGCCAAAGGAAGAACAACCGGTCCTGATGTTGCTCTATTGTTGGAAGCAGCCTGACCTCCAGCAGCCCCCAGCCTTTCTCAGTCTCTGTAGATCTAAGGGGCAGGAGAGGATCTGCACTGGCCGGGGTTACTGTGGGGGTTAAAGGAGGCCTTCATGCTATGGAGCCGGGACTTCTCACTGTGTGCTCAGACCCCTGCTCTTTTCCCTCAGCCTTCCTTTCCAAGGCCTTTTTTCCCCTGTCTCCCTTCTTTCCTTCTTCACCTCCTCTTCCTTCCCTTCCCCCTTACTAGCTTATGAAAACTTCAGTGTGTGCAACTGTGCATACATTCCCAGCAACATTCTCTGAAGGAATGATGCCACTATGCACACACAGCCCAGCAACATTCTCTGCAGGCACAATGGGTCACTTCCATGCAGTGCCGAGGGAGAGAGAAAAAAGCTTCTCCCTGATTTATGGAGGCATAAGGTGTGTGTGTGTGTGTGTGTGTGTGTGTGTGTGTGTGTGTGTGTGTGTGTGTATGTGTGTGTGTGTGTGTGTGTGTGTGTGTGTGTGTATGCACACTCATATGTGGTCATGCACGTGTATGGACACTACTTCATTTATTCATTTTACCCATTGGCACAGCCTTCTGGTTTCTGCAGTCACCATCTTTATTGGTGGCATCTGACCGAGCCACCTTCAATGAGCCAGTCCTGTGGTCTTCACTGCCGCTGTTGGATCTGACCCAGGCTGGGCTGCACATTGGGCTGTTCTGGTAGGGTTTCTAGGCACTGGACAGTTAATGAGGTTGACAGGAGAGGGCAGCCATGTATGAGCACAGGAGACTGCTTCTCAGTGCCCACAGACAACACAGATGCCTTTGGGCCACCTAGGGGAAGGAAGGACAGATGGCCAGATAGCAATGTCAGTCCTCCTGGAACCCAGGGGCACTAGGACCATCCTGTACCAGGAGGCGTGTGTCTGTGGTGGCATGGATGCCTCTCCTGTGCCTGCTGAACAGCCGCGTGTGCTTACATTCAAGAAGACAAAGCCCCAAGCGGTGCACGCTGAAAAGCTGGAAGTGACGTCACCACAGGAGGAAATTAGAAGTCCTTTAGTGTTTCCTAGACATGTTCTCAGGAACCCACACAATAGGAGAGAAGCAACTCCCCCAAGTTTTCCTCTGGCTGACACATGTGTGCAACAGCCCCAGCCACACATATTAAGTAAATATTACGAGAAACCACAAATATTCCGTGAAGACATGGTAGGTCTCTGGCCAAGCCCATATGAAAGTGCAACATTTCTCAGCTCCCCTTCCTCAGGAGCCATGGGATACCAGGCTTGGTGAAGATTTAGAGACACCTCATCTGGTTTCAACTCTGTTCCATTATGGTGCTTTCTACGCCCTCTACACTTGACCACAGCTTCTGTTTGCTTTGCCCTACAGTCATTTGCCCAGGCTGCTGCTGTGGTGTGGCACAGTCTCAGGTTGGGCAGATAACAGCAGCTGCCCCCATCCATTGGTGCTTTCTGAGGTTGTAATTACTCATGGCCAACTGCCATCGGAGAATATTCAATCAGAAATTCCAGAAATAAACAAGTCATAGTCTCAAGAATCTTTTATTACAGCTTATGGTTATAATTATACCATTTTACTGTGAGTAACTGCAGTTAATTTCTTACTGTGCCTAATTTAAAAATTACATCTTAACATAAGTGTGTGCACAAAAGCCAAATACAAGGGGTTTAATACTGCCTTTGGTTTCAAGCATCCGCTAGGGTTTTAGACCAGGTCTCTCTAGATGAATGGGTGACAGCTGTAGCCAGCCTTTTACTTCATAGATGAGAATATAGACATCCATCAATCTGGGGTCATCTGGCACTTGACCAATCCCTTGTTATAATTAAATCCCTGCTTCTCAACCACACAGCATTCCCAGGACTTCCAGCTCCTTTGGCTGGTGGCCACACTTGTCTGGGCTTATATCCTTATTAGCTTCCCAGGGAATATGATATGGGTCTTTTTTTGATGGAGTCTAGTTGGAGATGACACAGCTGGGGGGCTCCTGAGAGGACCTAGGTACATTAGGGGGGCAGCCTGTGAACTCAGCAATGCTGGTTTCAGAGTGACCACAGAACCACTGATAATCCTACCTGGAAGGGGGTGGTTAATTAGCTCATCTTCTCCCTATTATTCATTTTAAATTGGTGGCATTCTCAGGACGTTTAGAGGTGATGCAATGATGAATTCTCACTAGCCAACACAGGCAGCCATGAATTCAGTGACCCAGCAATACAGTGATTACCTAGTATCTGATATTCTGTTCCTGCCCACAATGCTGGGAGTTAGGAACCAGGGGGTAACACAATTAGCATTATTTCCACTTGAAAAATGCCAGCATTAAGGCCAGAGGGGTCAGCTGCATGGCTTAAGGCCCTAAGACCAGTACAGAGGAGCTAGGATCCAAACCCAGGGCTGATGCAGTTCATTCATGGTTGTTGAATACAACTCTCTTTTTCTGATATTATTTATCAAAAAATCAGTGCGTCAGCCAGTAGCCCAATCACTGCGCTTCACCCTTCCATTTGTTTCACATAGCTGGTACCAGTGAGGGCAAAGGTCATTCTTCCTTCTGTTTTCTTGCCAGAACTGGATAATTCTTGCCCCATGCACACAGACACAATGTTATACAAGAGAAAAGCCAGCAATGGGTGGCATTCACTGTTTCCTAGACACTTACAGTAGTGCCATTTGATAAAGACTGCTCGGTTACATTCCAAATTTATTTGTCATCATTTTGAGCCGGGTTGATGGGAGATGAAGGTGCCTTCTAGCTCAGGCACCTGCTGTTCTCCCCAAATATCAAGGACTGACATTTGATGCCAGTTTCCCCAGTCAGCTTATAGGTGTCACACTTCTATACATCCCCATTCCCAGGCCCAACCACCCCATGCACACTGAAGAGAACTTTCATGCTAGTGAGATGAGACCTGCACTGTACAGGGAGACCTGTGTATCCAGATGTTCTCTATTCCTTGTAGAGCCAATGCCGGCCTCTGGGTGGCCATCAAGTCCCTGGAGGAGGTGCTGTGTGTCCTGGTTCCTCCCACCTGTATCAGTTTCCTGGCAGGCACCCAGTGTTCTGCAGTAAGAGTCTTGGGGTGCCCTTGAGGGCCTCCTGATGTGGATAATGGTGGCACAGAGTGGGTGTGCTTTCTCTCCAGCAGCCAGAAACATCTTGCAGGGAGGTGAAGTCTGCTACCTCTCAGATGAAGTATTCCTTCTTGCTGTTGTCCCCGGCGTCCTGGAGGGCAGGGTCACATTGCAGGGCTGCATCGGCGCTCTCGGCGAACTCTGTACCTTTGGCCTCGTTGGTGTGGTAGGTGCCCTTGTGCCTATACATGTAGCGGAGCATGAGGAAGAGGAGGCAGACCAGGACCAAGGCCACTGCAGTGATCACAGCTGCAAGAGGGAGACAGGATTGTAGGTCAGCTTGGGGTAGTGCTGCAGTATGACTTTTTCCTCTGGGCATAATGTCATGCCATCTTGGAGTAGAGTGCACCTTGGCAAGGCCAGCTGGCCGTGGCCAATCAGTGAAATAATGCAGTGGTATCTGGGTCCATGGAACTACTAACCTTCCCTAGTTGATAAGAGGGGATCACCTGGGGGGAAAAGAATCTCTATTTGCTATCTTATGTCTATGCACGATTGAGCATGAATGTTATTAAAATCAAACGCGTCATAGGAAAGGCCATGTGTAGTATACAAAAGCTCACATAACCAGAGCCGATCAGTCAACACAAACATTCACCCAGTGACTGCCCAAAGGTGAGCTGAACAAGAATGACTCCAATGAACTTGCCAAACTGGACTTTAAAAAATCCTGTGAGATCATAACCCTACACAAAGAACTACAGGAAACCGAAGAAAGCTGGTAATGGGAGAGGTGGCCTTCTCCAAGGAAAAGTACACTAATTGGTTGACTGGTGCCCAACGGTCAGCCCTGAAAACATACACACAGATTGCATTGTATGAACTAAACAGGTTATATTTGGGAATATATATATATATATATATATATATATATATATATACACACATATATACATATATGTACAAATATGTAAAAATACATATATGCAGTCAATAAAAATGAGTAAAAACAGAGGCCACAAATTTAAAGGAGAAGGAGGAGGGATATATAGGAGGATTTGGAGGGAAGAAAGGGAAGGGGGAAATGTAATTAAATTATAATCTCAAAAAAATTCACCCACACATTTCTAGCATCCAATTCCCCCTCCTCCTATGTCCACAAAAGGAAGACTCAGGCAGCATCCGAGCACCCTTGGCAAATCTTGCTCAGGACCCACTGTTCTCTCATGACATCCGCACTCTGGAATTTTTACTTTGCTTTGGAATAAAAACCCTTGGGGGGTGCTTATCAATTCCTCCAATACCCAGTCTCTACAGAGGCCACCAGTAACACAAGTTCTTATATTGGCTTGAAGCTGAAGGGGCCGTAGAATGTCGGGCTTCACTTCTTCAGGCAATCCCATTTCCATATAGGAATTTCTGCGCCCAGACTAAAAGTCCCAGGAAACTAGGAAGAACTGGTGACCCTCCATAGAGTCCACAGCGGGAAGGGACAAGGGCGACTGGGTATGGTATGATGGGGTGGGGGAGGCGCTCTTTGGAGCGCTGTCCCTAACCAGCCTGAACCATTCATTCGTGGGAGGCGAGGATTTCCAGGTCTCCAGGAAGAGGTAGACTTGGCCAATCAGTGAATGACATGCTCTGGTCAACGCCAAAGATGCGTTAGGTCCCAGGAATCACAGAAGTAGAGGAGAAGGAGAGAAAGAGGGGTCAGATTACTTAGGGTCTGGAAAAGGGAAATAATTCAGAAGGGTCAAGGGCAGTAATCCCATAGATGTTTCAGATTTGCTCACTAGGTCTGAAGCTGTAGAATCAAACTATCTTCCTTCACTTAGAATGCAGGGTTATTGGAGTAATAATGTTGGGGAATAATATAACTCCCGCGTCTCATTTGTATGGAATTATCTCCTAAGCTCCTTATGACTGTTGCAGGAACACTGTGCCTGTTAATACTTCCCGAGAAAAGGGAAATCTTGGGGTCCAAATGACAACAGAATGATCAGCTAGATGAAATCGTCAGGTGTCTTTGATGGCTTCCTGTGGCTTCTTTATTTTTAACCGAAGATGATTTCTGAGCTAGGCACCAGCTAGTGAGAAGAATGGGTCATGAAAAAGGGAGCAGGGCAGGACACCTCCCAAGCTTGGTTACTATGGAGCCAACTGCTCAGGGTCCAACCTTTAGGAGGGCAGTGTGAGTCAGGGCAGTGTGAGATGAGGGAGATGTGAAGTCCTCGAAGCCTAGGTTAGCGTATCGACTTGTACCGCAAGCCTGCTTTACAGAGTTAGGACACACCTGTTAGCTGCTGCTTTTCTTTTCTCCTAAAAGCCAGGCAACGCTCCTGTAGTCTCTCTCAAATCCAGCCATGGGGTGGAGTGAGACCTCGCAACTCTCGCAAGCAGCTGAGTCTGCCCCCTCCTTTGCATCTGGGAGCAAGCCTGGCTGATGCCCAGAGCTCTGACAACCTTGGATTATAACCCTACTTTTATCTAATGCCCTCCCGCTTTGTAACTCCTAGCATGCAGACTAGGTCACATGGTGTGAACTTATCTCTACCTCCTATCATCAACCCCCAAACTCTAGGAGTCAGAAACTGCTTGTTTTCTGGAATTGAAGGCTCTCTCCCTTCAGAATCCCTATCACACTATACATGGCACCTCTCTCCCAATGCCTTCCCACTTCAGGGCCTCTCATGGCTGCTATCACCACGGTGCTCTGACCACCCTACCCTAAATAAAGCTCTTCTTTAGAGGACTTTGTCCTAATTTCCTTTTCTACTAATCTGTTTTTATTATTCTTTTTAAAATTTATAACACACAGGACTCATTCTCCAGCCTGAGCCACTGGGGACCCAAGGTCCAGAGAAAGGATGTCTTTTGACATGTGTAACAAGCTCCTTTTTGTCCCTCCTCCCTCAGGCATCATATGTGACATTCCAGTCAGGATGGGAGTGTTCCTTTCCATCCTCCAAGTCCCCTCCGGGGGCAGAGACATATAGTTTTTGTCAACTGGGCACATGTCTACACACACTCTCTCAACTGAAGAATTGCCTTAACCAGACTGGCCTATGGATATGTCTATGGGGCATTTTCTTGGCTTCTGCTACCACTGAGGGTGGTTCCATCCCATAGTAGGTGGCCCTGGCCTCTACAAGAAACAGCTGAGCAAGCCAGAGGAGACGTGCTGGCCAGCAGTTTTCATCCATGGCTCCTGCCTCTAGCCCTGCTGGAGTTCCTGCCCTGGCTTCTCAGTGATGGACATGGAGGTATAAGCTACACAAACCCTTTCCTCCCCAGGGTTCTTTTGGTCAAGGTGTTTATCATAGCAACAAGAAGCAAACTAGAATAGGCAAGAAGCACCACCAGTCACAGCTGCCCCCTTTCCACCCAGCGCCTCAAGCCAGTGCTGGTCAGAGTCTTTTTTGGCTTCCAGAAGCCATGCCAAGCTCACCTGCAATGATGGCAATCTCCATTACGCTGTAGGACATTCCTGGGTCAGGCTCTGTGAACAAAAGTGAAAATGTATGGTGAGAAAGGAAGACTCCCCACAATCAGAAGCACCTTGGCCAGTACGTACCCCATGACCACTTGTAAGCAGCTTGGTGATTGCCTGCATGGGGAACAGCACAATGCACAAAGACCTTTGCTGGAAGGCACAGACCCCGCTCTGCCTGGCTACTGAACTAGGCCGAGAACACTCCGTGAATCCCAGGGCACTCCAGAACCATGTCAGCTCCCCATTAAATTCCAGCACAGAAGCCCACGCCCACACCTTGTAGATGCGTGGTTGACTTTTTCCCCCTGGATATAATATGTTCACCATCTTGGAGTGGAGACTAACCTTAGCCAGGTATCCACGGCAACTCAATGAGCAGAAAAATACAGAGGTGGCTACATTTGTTTATGACAATGGCAATGGAGCTTTTGACATCCCCTAATAGACGGAGGGAGCAGGTCTTAGGACCCTCAACTGAGATTGCAGCCATGACTCTCTTCCGGCTTCTCCCAGCTACAAGTGATTGTTGGAGACACTAGAGCACACAGGACACAGAAGGTTAACTGAAAGTGGACTCCATGATACGGTTCACCATCCAAGATGTGGTGATACAACTGATGGTGTGTGTGTGTGTGTGTGTGTGTGTGTGTGTGTGTGTGTGTGTGTTTGGTATATGTGTATGTTTGTATGGGTATGTACATGTTTGTAGGTGGGTGCCTGTGTACTTGTGTGTGTGTGTGTGTAGGCCACAGTTCTTTCTTGGTGACTTCTCACCTTACTTTTTGAGACAGCACCCATCACAGAACCTAGAGCTCACTGACTCTGCTAGGATGGCTGACCACTTAGTTAGATGCATGGCTCCTCTTCACCCTGCCCCTCTAATGTTAGGGTTGCAGATACATCCTACCACACCTGCCCATTTAACGTGGATTCTATGGATGCAAATTCAAGTCCTCATGCTTGAACAGTGGGCACTTTCCAGCCGAGCCATCTACCCAGCCTCGGATGTATCTGTTCTGGGGTTATCCACACTCCTGTAAGTAAATTTTCACCCATGCTCTAGATAAGAAAATAAGTTGGCCTTGGATAGAACCATTACTTTGGTCTGCCATTGGAGCCATATTTGGGGCAAATAGACAACTGTTCATTATCTCCCCAGGAAAAGTAAATGCAATGCCACTGCATCTAATCACAGAGGCCCACATTGGCCAGACACTCAGTCGGTTATGTGGGATGAAGAGCCGCACCACAGGCCATGTGATGGTCTGCTCATCCCAAGTCCGGCTTTGCTGTTGTCTCACACCTACTACCGCAGTGGTGTTCCTGAGAGATGTGTGAATGAATGCATGCACATCAGAGCAAATGGATTTAGCAGCTGGAGTTCTATGTAATGTAAAGAATATATATTTATTTTTGTTCACAGTTCTGGAGCCTGGGAAGTTCAAGAGCTTGGTGTTAACATGTGATGAGGGTCTTCTTATTGCATCATTAAACAGCAGCAGGAATCATATGGTATCCTGCAATGTTATCCTCCACACAGCACAGCCACCACTATGGAAGCTCTGACTACTTGCAAGGGACCCTCAAGATTGGGCTTGTTGACATTTCCTCATAGAAGTAAGGAATGGGGAGGGTCATTGGAGTCTCGCCTAGATTCCAGCCACTCCCTCCTGTACCCCTACATTATCTATATGAATTTTCTAAGTTCATGGTGAGAGCCTGGGACTCTGCAAAGCCAGATTGCCAAGACAGGTGTCTCTGTCATGGAAAGACATAGTCCTGTTACAAGAAGACACAGGACATCGTGCAGGAGGTAGACTTGGGCTCCAAAGGTCAGGTCGGGAAAGGCATCCTTCCCTGTGTACCTGTTGCGGTTTGGATGAGAAATGTCCCCCATAGGCTCAGGTACTTCAATCCTTAGCCCCCTGCTGGTGGCATTGTCTGGGGACATTATGGAACTGTTAGTACATGGAGCTGGTGCTGGAGGAGTGCTTCAATGGGGCAGGCTTACAGAGTTTACAGCTCCACCCCTCTCCCAGTTCTTACTGTCTGCTTCCTGTGTGCTGTTCAGATATGGTCTCTCAGCTCCTTGCTCCACCATGCTGGTCTGCTGCCATGCCTCCCCATCCACTGTGGACTAGAACTGTAAGCCAGAATAAACTCTTCCCTCTATAAGGTGCTTTTGGATATGATATTTTAATCACAACAGAAAAGCAACTAATAAGTGCCCCTTGAAGTCTTGCTCAGGAGGCTCTTTGTCAAGGATTTGCTCCCAGGAGGAACAGGTAAGAAAGGCCATGATGTCATAACTCACAACTCAAGATTTAGGTGCCCAGGCTCTTTCTCCATGTTTTTCTGCCATTATCCTTGTATCCTCTTATATCAGAAATATTTTTACACCACACACACAAAAGGCACTCACTTTTACCTCACAACCGATCAGCTCCCTTGAGCTATAGTGTGTACAGAAAAGGAAGAAGACTTTGTGGCTATTCTTCCGACAAGGAATAAAACAGGATCCCCTTATCCCAAGTCCAGGATGACAGCCTCATTAAAAAAGTGAAGGATGGGCAATGTGGAATCACTTCTATTGAACAGGGTTCTCCTCTAGGGAGGAGACTGTGTTAACTGCGGACTGGGAGGCAGGCAGGCAGTTTTTAGAGGCAGTAAGGGCCAGGGTGACAGTTCAGTCAGTGAAATCCTGGCCTCAAAAGCACGAGGACCTGAGTTCAATCCTCATCGGCTGTCTTAAAAAAATAGACACCCTAAACCAACCAACCAACCACCCAACCAACTAACCACCCAACCACCCAACCAACTAACCAACCAACAAACAAACAAAAAAACAAACAACCCAGGTGTAGTGGCATCTGCTCATAATCCCAATGTTGGGAAAATGGAGACAGGCGGATTCCTAGGGCTCTTTCCTGGTCTTTCAGCTTAATGCACTTGGCTGCAGGCCAATGAGAGACCTTGTCTTGAAAATAAACAAGCAATGCCAGGTACCCAAGGAATGACAGCCAGAGTTGGCCTCCACATGCATGAACACACACACACACACAAAGGTACACATGCATATGTGTACCTACACATGCATGAACACACACACACACACACATACAAAGAATGTGCCAAGTGTTGTCTTACATTCATGGAGTACTGTAAACAAAGAAGGAAGATGCTGTATCCCCCAGCTCCAACCCCAGCAGACATGTCCTGCATAGCATTTCTAGGAACTCAAATTTAAATCGACAGAAGGAGTCAGAGGATTCCAGTAAAGCTTTGATGGATGTCTGGCTCCTGGTGAACTGGGGGACCAGGAAGCTGCTGGAGCTAGATCAACACTACACTGTTTATGCTTGTGGAAAGCGGGCTAGTATCATCAGATAACTAATAGACTAGATATCTGGACAATGCCAAGGCCACCAAGGAGCTTGGTATATTTGCTCTCCTTTGGAGAAGGAGGAAGCCCACTTCAGGAGCAGCTGGTGTGGCTTTGACACACAGGAATAGGGGACCTGGTGGCTTCTAATGTGTCTCTCTATCAAGCTGATTGATCACTACAGTGAAAGGGAACCAAATTGCTAGGTGGGAGCTGAAGCCAAGGACTGTAGATGGCATGTTACAGGGAGTGATCCAGTGTCCGTGCTTGGGAGAAGCCAACCTCCCTAGACACAACCATAAAAGGCTGAGCACCTAGCAGTGAGCGGGATGGAAAAGTGGGGAATGGCCAGTGAGAAGGCTCAGTGGGTCAAAGTGCTTGCTGCCATGAAGCCTGATGACCTGAGTTCGATCCCTGGGACCCACATGGTGGGAGAAGCAAACTGGCTCCTGCAAGCTGTCCTTCTGCCTCCACATGTGCTCCAAGGTATGCACACACACACATACACACACATACACACACATTCACACACACACATATACACACACACACATATATACACATACACACATACACACATTCACATACATACACACACATACACACACATACACACACATATACATACACACCACACACACACAGAGTAAACACAAAATTAATAAATAAAACTCAATAATTAAAAAAAAAAGAAATGCAGGGCATGTCTTGGGACTATGAGAAAGAGACGGACCTCTCACTCTGGAATCCAGCAGAAGCTTTGCATCAACAAAACAAGAATTGTCACACAGTTGCTAACTTCTTACAGCCTTTCTCTTTCCCTGCTATAATTTCCCTGCAATTCTTTAGAAATCTCACCGGGAAAGGCCACCTACAAGCAAAGGAAATGTATCAAACTATTTGTGCAACCGTAGTGGTCGCTGGTGTTTACCTTAGGAGTTTACAATTCCATCCAAGACATCTCCAGACCAGCTCACTGGTCTCTCTTAGCAAAAGACCAAGAAGGAAAAAAGAGTTTCTTAGCAATCTTTAGAGATGTAACTTGAGATCCAGTAAAAGGATATGTATAGTATGATATGGCTAAACTTGGTTCTCAATTCTCGACTTGACTGCATCTGAAATTAACTAAAACTCAAGCAGCTGCACACATCTGTGAGGGACCTTCTTAATAAGACTAGGCAGGAAAACCCGCCCAAAATCTACACCTCGTGGCAGCCAGGAGGAAAGGGCACGGAAGAAGGAAGCTATGCCCTTTACTCACTTGCCATCACTCTTGTTGGCAAGTCTATCTATTCTGTTGCTGCAGCATCCTTCACCAATATTAGAACCTACTTCCTTGGGATTCCAGTGTAGACTAAAGACCGGCAGCTCTACAGGAAACCTCTAGGACTCCGGTGCCAGATCGGAACTGCTGAGATATTCAGTCCTAAGCGACTACAGGATTCTTAACTTCTCCAGTGTGAGATAGTAATTATTGGGACTACCAATCGAAAAGGAAAAACCCTTTAAATATACATATTCCTGCTCTCAGTTCAGTTCCTTTAGAGACCCTGACTAATACAAGTAGATAACGCTACAACAATGAATCGTGACTCACCCTTGAGAGATTTGAGAGACTTGGGAATCATCTTACTTCTTGTGCATCTTTGAGAAGCCCACACTCAGGCTCTCGGGTGTGTGTTCTTCTTGAGTACCCTCTTTTCTTCTAATCTCTATGCTTATGCCTATATAAAAATATCTTTAATGAAACCTCTTCATTATCACCTACTCCTGAAATTCTTTTTAGTGTCAACAATGTGAGTCCGGGTTTTGTCTTAATCAAGGGCCAGAAAGATACAGGGGATTTCCTTAGGCTGACGAGGGTGGCCATGTGGGACAATGTTGCCCCCCCCCCCACTGTTTCACTATGAGATTTGTCGGGTTGTGAATAGCAAAGGAAGAGATTCCTGCTTTCATCATCTGCAGAGCTTGACATCTAAGCCCTATGCAGGGAAGTGTAGTAGAATAGTTTAAGGTGTGTTACTTTTGTTTATGTTGCATTTGTTTAACTCTGTGAGGCTGTGTTACTGTGTCTCTCTAAAACACCTGATGGTCTAATAAAGAACTAAATGGCCAATAGCGTGGCAGGAGAAAGGATAGGTGGGGCTGGCAGGCAGAGAGAATATATAGAAGGAGAAAACTGGGAGAAGAGAGGAGGAGGACTTCAGGGACGAGCCATCCAGCAAGCCACAGAGTAAGAGTAAGATTTACGGAAATAAGAGAACAGCAAAAGCCCAGATGTGGTGGTATTATGTTCCCCAAAATATTGTGCACCCTAATAAACTTATCTGGGGTCAGAGAACAGAACAGCCACTAGATACAGAGGCTAGAAAATGGTGGCACTCACGCCTTTAATCCTAGCATTCCAGAGGCAGAAATCCCTCTGGATCTCTGTGAGTTCAAGGCCACATTGGAAACAGCCAGGCATGGTGACACACGCCTTTAATCCCAAGAAGCGAGCCTTTAATCCCAGGGAGCGATGGCAGAATGTAGAAAGGTATATAAGGCGTGAAGACCAGAAACTAGAAGATTTAGGCTGGTTAAGCGTTTAGGCTTTTGAGCAACAGTTCAGCTGAGATCCATTTGGATAAGGACTCAGAGGCTTCCGGTCTGAGGAAACAGAATCAGCTGAGGAATTGGCGAGGTGAGGTGGCTGTGGCTTGTTCTGCTTCTCTGATCTTCCAGCATTCACCCTAATAACTGGCCTCAGGTTTGATTTTATTAATAAGACCATTTAAGATTCCTGCTATACCCAGAGGCAAAAGGTAGATGGAATAAGTTAAGAAAAGCTGGCAAGAAAGAAGCCTCATTTCGGGGCTGGGCAGCCCCCCCCCCCACAAAAAGAGAAAAAACAACTGACAACAGGAAAGGAGTTAAATACTCTTGGATGTTGGTGTCCTTCTCTAGTGCCCATCATCTTATCTTTCTTGAGGTGGGATCACACCCTGGGGTGGTATAAAACTGTTCCTGTCAGTGTTCTATCCTCTTGGAGGTGCTTTTCCTTCTTTGCAAAGCAAAGGTAGGAAATCCTGAACAGCAGGTAATGATGTGGGAGATAGCTACTTCTCACCCTCCAGGTCAAGTGTGCACACACAAGAATCCCCCAGGGGGACCCGGAGAACCACAGATCATCGCTGCCTTCACCCAAGACCCTAGGTAGTCAGTGATGGAGGGCAGAGAACTTGCAATTCCTTATGAGTGTGTGTGGGGGGGGTATGGGGGAGAGGCACAGCAGAGGACAACCTAAGCTGTCATTTTCCAGGATCCATCCACCTTGCTTTTTGAAACGGGGTCTTTCATTGACTTGTTTAGGCTAGGCTAGCTGGCTAGTGAACCCTGGAGGTTCTCTAGTCCTCTCCTCTCTGATTCTCTAGTGCTAAGATGACAACCATGTGGCACCATACGTGGCTGCTTTTAAACATGGACTCTAGGGGGACCAAATTCAGGTCCTCATCTCTCAAGGCAAGCACTTCACTGACTGTACCCTCTCCCCACCTGATCTGAGAACTCACATTTCTCATATATTCTCAGGTGATGCTGCTGCTGCTGCTGCTGCTGCTGCTGCTGGTGTTGAAGCCTCGATCTAAGGACCACTGAGCTCATGACTGTGCATCTATAGACCGCAGGGCACAGTTCAAGAGGGTGATGTTTACCTTCGGTAAATAGGCCCGAACGTCCCCATACTCCCTTATCAAACAAATATAAAATCATACCACACCTCTCTCCACCACAACTCTTGGCTAGTGTCTCCTTTTCAGGAACCAGCTAATGTCACTGAAAACCTAGCACAACTGAGGACTGAGAACCTGTCATCTGCCTGTTCCTCTAGCTGCCCCTGTAACTATTGCTGGGGGTCAGGGAGAGGGGACTCTTGTGCCTGACTCTGGTAATGCATGTATCCTTCTGATCTTATGAGATCACAACGTTTCCAGCCTTGTTCTCTGGAGGCCCAATAAGTCCTCAGCTGAATACAGATGCTAACTAACTGCTTGTGAGACCAATGAAGGAAACCACCAGTGCTGATCACAATGAGACCAATGAAGGTGAAACCACCATTGCTGACTATAGTGAGATCAATGAAGGAAACCACCACTGCTGATTACAATGAGACCAATGAAGGAAACCACCACTGCTGATTACAGTGAGATCAATGAAGGAGACCACCACTGCTGACTACAGTGAGATCAATGAAGGAAACCACCACTGCTGACTACAGTGAGATCAATGAAGGAGACCACCACTGTTGCTTAGAGTGAGATCAATGAAGGAAACCACCACTGCTGATTACAATGAGACCAATGAAGGAAACCACCACTGCTGATTACAGTGAGATCAATGAAGGAAACCACACTGTGATTACAGTGAGATCAATGAAGAAAACCACCAGTGCTGATTACAGTGAGATCAATGAAGGAAACCACCACTGCTGATTACAGTGAGATCAATGAAAGAGACCACCAGTGCTGACTACAGTGAGATCAATGAAGAAAACCACACTGTGACTACAGTGAGATCAATGAAGGAAACCACCACTGCTGATTACAGTGAGATGAATGAAGGAGACCACCACTGCTGATTACAGTGAGATCAATGAAGGAGGAGACCACCACTATTGATTAATTTGAGGGCAGTTGGGCTATGATGATGAGGTGGGGAAATGCTTCCCAAATGACAAAGGAGACAGATATCCCTGGACATTATAAGGAGCCAGGAGGGTATTGTTCACCCCCTTCAGCATTAGCTTCATAGTTCTGAGCTTCTTAAGAGATGGAAGACCTAGACACACATGTTACAGCTCCATCCAGGCTTCCAGAGAGAGAAGATACCCAGGAAGCCATGAGATGCTCTTAGAGATTCCGCCTGCCCAGCCCACATCCTTGCAAGGTCAGCACACTTACCACACACGGGACAGACTAGTGAGTAACAACTCAGCTCTGGCACTTAGGCCTGTCTTTGGGGAGTGATGTGGTGTTTATATTTTTCCCCACATTAAAGATGGTTGTTCAACCATGTAGGATTATTGTTAGTATGTGCTAAGGATCAAGCTCAGTGCCTGGCATAGGTCAGATCATTTGGATATTAGTTATTACCTCTGGCAATACTGCTGTCATGACTTGGGTTAAGATGGTATGTTGGTTTGAATGAGAATGGCCCCCCATAGGCTTATATATTTGAATGCTTAGTCACTAGGGAGTTGAACTGTTTAGGAAGGATTAGGAGGTTTGGCTTTGTTGGAGTGGGTGTGGCCTTGTTGGAGGTACATCACTAGGGGAGGACTTTGAGGTTTCAAAAGCCTGCTACCAGGCCCAGTCTGTCTGTCTGCCTGCCGGCCTCCTCTCATTTGCTGCTCATGATGCAGGATGTAAAGCTCTCAGCTACTGCTTCAGTACTATGCCTGTCTGCCTCCCACTACAATGATCATAGTCCAACCCTCTAAAACTATAAGAAAGCCCTCAATTAAACACTTTATTTTATGAGTTGCCTTGGTCATGGTATCTCTTCAAAGCAATAGAACAATAATTAAGCCAGATGAGATTTTGAAAAATAGGCAAAATCAGTGTTTTTATACAGCATATGGCAAATCTGTTGCCCAAATGATGAAATATATCACTCTGGTTATTGATTCTAGAGAAATCATTTAGAATGGAGAAAAAGGTCCATGTTCAGGGAAGTGTGCTGCAGTATGGTTTGGAAATAGAAAATTGGGCACTGAGGAGATACATCAGTTGGTAAAGTACTTGCCATGCAATCATGAGAATCTTAGTTGGATCCCTAAAACCCAAGGGGAAAAAAAGCCGGATGTGGTAGTGTTAGCATGTAGTTGTAATCTCAGTGCTAGGGAGGCAGAGACAGGCAAATCCTTGAGACTTGCTGGCTGGACATCCAGGGCAGCAAGAGACCCTGTTTCTAAAAACAAGGTAGATAGCAAAGTGTTAAAAGAGAGAGGCAAAACAACAGCTGTGTTCAGGGAAGATAAAACACTCCACCCCCGCAGGGAAGTGTCCACTACTCAAAATACTTAAGAAAGTCCTAAAAACTGAACAGATTCTCTAAGCCCCTCTCTCCCCAGGTGTACATAAGCAATAAGGACCTGTTAAGAGGTACCATTGGGAGCTGGCCATGAAGAGCTGACCCACCTGGAAGAAGCAGAGCTCAGGCCAGATGCCTAGAAGAGGCCCAACCAACCGAGCCACCTGTAAGGGACTCTTCCAACCTGTTGAACTTGCTGCAGGCTGAGCAGTGTGCTCCAGATTTCCAGTTTTCATGAGCTGTCACCCATGCTGCCGTGGGATTTTGGTAATACAGCTGTCTTTAAGTCATTTCTGCTCCTGTAAGTAACCTCTCACCCATATTCATGAGGTATGAGGTAATCCCAATAACACTCATTGGTTCATCAAACTGGACTTGGGTGGTATCCTTACTTTGGTATGTTGTTGGTTTCCTGTCTGGGGTAAGTGGACTTCTATTCAAGTCTTCCCAGGATTAGTGTCACACAGCAACATGCATGTGCACCTCCCACATGCGCGCGCGCGCGCACACACACACACACACACACACACACACAAATAAAGTGTGTGTGTGTGTGTGTGTGTGTGTGTGTGTAAGTGGATCAGCATGCAGGTGCCTGCAGAGGCTGAGAATGAAAGATCTCCTGGAGCTAGAGCTATAAGTGGTTGTGAGCCACCCAACAAGGGTGCTGAGAACCAAATGTAGACGAATTTCTAAACAGTCTTATTAAATAAAAAACTCAGAGCCAGAAATTGGGGTTAAAGCCTGAGAGAGATCACAGGAATAGGAAAAGCCACAGCTAACCTCACCTCACCAATTCCGCAGCTTCCAAGAGCAAGCTACTTCCTGTCTACCCACACCTATGTGCCTTTCTGTTCTGTTCTCTCAATCCAGCTACATTACTTCTTCTTCCTGCCCAGCTCTGTCACTTCCTGTCTGTCTGTACAGACCTCCAGACTTCTATGGTTAGTACTGGGATTTAAAGGCATGTATCACCATGCTTGGCTCTGTTCCCAGTGTGGCCTTGAACTCACAGAGATCCAGACAGATCCCTGCCTCCCAAGTGATAGGATTAAAGGTATGTGCTGCCATTGCCTGACTTCTATATAGTAGTTGGCTTTTTCCTCTAATCTCCAGGCAAATTTTACTGGGAGACACAGTTTATTGTGGGGGGGGGGACACAATACGTCACCACAACCAAACTCAGGTTCTGTGTAAGAGCAATACATGTTCTTAAATGTTGAACTGTCTCCCTAGATCACCATGTGCTACTTACTTTTAAGGTCAAGAAATGGGGCTATATTCTCAGAACTGACTGTGATATCTCAGGATCTTGATAGTCACTGACCAGAAGATGCCAGCCTACCCTACCTTCCTGTGTGCCCCCACTGTACCTCATGCAGTGCCTCCAGACCATCCCAACTGCTGCTGGACAGCAGGCCCTCGGCCCCCACCCCCGAAAGGCCCTCTATGTGTTCATATACCCTTGACACATTAGAGTGAGGAGGTGCTGAGAACGGACCTTCTCACTTCCCATGGGTAAGCAATGATGGGATGCTGGTACATAAGCACCCAGTGCTCCTCTCATTCTTTCCCTGGTTTCAGGTGTAGACTGAGGGTCATGAATGTGGCTGGCATCCAAGCACACAGGGATGGAGCCTGCTGGAGGGGATAAAGGTCAGCGGTGGCCCTTCAAGGAAGCATATCTAGACGCACAAGCTGCAGTGTTTCCCTTCGGTCTCCTGCCCCCATCGCCTCCCTCTATCTCCACCCGAGGCCAACTTCAAACTCTTCACTTCTATCTGCATCTCTTGCTTCCTCTTCCAGGGTGCAGCATCTCATCAATGAGTTTGTCTCACACTTTGGTTCTATATGTTCTTATTTTTCTGCCAGCATGTGTATGTGTGTGTGTGAGCACTGTGCATATGAGATATGAGTGTGTAGTTGTGTGTGTGCAGTGGCACATGCCTCCCTCCCCCCCTCTCTGCATTTAAAGGCCTCATCACTCTCCATTTTATTTATAGAGGCAGATTGCCTTAAAAAAAAAAACAGAGCTTTCTCTGCTTTCTCTATCTAGTCACCTAGCCCCACGAATCCCCCATCTCTGCATCCTAGGTGCTGGCATTACAGGTAGCTGTCACACCTACTCAGCATGACTTCTGGGAATCCAAATTCCCAGCAAGCACTTTACCAATCATCTCCTTAGTTCTTGGCCTCCAACTTTTAAATACATGATAGGATTTGGGCTCTAGGAAAATGATTTTCTGGAAATCCTTCCATGATGAGAGCCTGTGTTGATAGCCCATGGACTCTAAGCTGCATGGGGTAGAAGTGAGAAAACAGAAGGTGTGGCAGTGTCATGCAGCCAGGCTGGCTGGGTCACTACTCTGGAGGTACCCATGGGCCTGAGAAGCTATTGGGTGGAGAGATGTGAAATGGAGGAGTATAAGCTAGAGAATTAACCGAGGTTGGCAGACAGCAGGGTGAGGGAAATGCAGACTCACTGGGTGGAGTCCTCACTGGTAACACCATTTAGCACAGGAGCCAACACTATGTGGCTGAAGCCAAATGAAAGCTGTGGTCATAATGGTGGA